GTTTTATATCAAAACTAAACCGAGTAAAGCGTTATTCACTAGATATGTACTGACAGACTAAAAGATGGGGATTTCCCCCATTAGCCTCCTACGCAAACATCCTTTGGGTCGGTCACGCAACGTTTTGCTGATTCTTAAATTCCAAGAACATGTCACGACAGCTAGATATTTGTGAAATAGGAATCGACTAGTATAGTTGGCAAAGCTAGATGAACTACTCTCAGTCGTTACAAGAACAGCATCGAAATCTAAATCACTCTAATAAAAGTGACAWCTTCACTGTATCATGTATCAAGGTCCAGTTCTATAGCCCTTTCGTTTTGGCAGCCGAGTGTGATAATGCATTTAGATCTTCTTGAGACAGACCCCGTACGGGCGAATATCATCTTTGCTGGGGCTTATAAAATAAATGCCTAACAATGATTTAATGGATTCCGTTTTCTGGAGGTTGACACGGTTTTGTAGTATACATTTGTACTTTTCACCATTGTACATAAAGTCTGTGGCATAACGCTCGGCTACAAGGAAATCTGGTGTTGAGTAGATACCAGGGCCATACACTTGATTTACACATTTCTCGGTGTCGTATCCGTTATTCACAATACTCGAGACATTTTCTCTTTTAKTGCCATGGTAGGATACTGCCCATTCTCCTGGGGAAGATCCTTCCCTCCAGCCTGGTTGTCCCAGCCAAACATCATCTTCATACTTTCCTATCACTCTCACAGCCCTTCTCTTCCATCCAGCTGGTCTCTTGTATGGATACCCTCCTCTGGTGYAGTTACTGTCATCTCCCTTGTAGTTAGTAAAGTCGTAGTCGTAGGATGGGTGGTATTCAGAATCCGGGATGTAAAATATTTGATCTGTTACTTGGCATTGGTCGTAGAACAGTTCTTGTAGTGTGATAGGTCTTGCATTGTCGGCGGATTTTCTTGCTGCTTTTTCGCTAATGACATTTAATCCAGAAATAGCAGAGAGACCAGCTGCGCTTCCATCAGTGAAATTTAACTGTAAAAACGAGTGGAGTACCGCTTGAATCATCGGATTTTTCATGAAATTTAAGATAGTTGTGTCCTTGGCGTACACTCGCGATCACTGACGCGATCACTATAGCAAATGTTCTCTCTTTTTTTTCTTTCATTCAGATCTTTTTAAGTATGACGCGATTAAGGGGAAKTTTTCTGTTACTATAAATATATTAATTACGTACAATCGCGGGAGTTAGTAGAGCCTAATTCAAAATACGGCTTTCAGTTTTTGGTTAAAGTGCTTAGACGAAAATCACTCCAAAATTAAAACTCTTTCATTCGAGCTGGAACTTTGCTGAAATAATCTTGAATACATTAAGAACCACTCACTGAAATATCTTTCT